AATAAAAATACCCGCTGCCTGCGATATCCTCATTAGTTATATTGCCCGACGGACAATCTACTCACTACCTATTGGGACTGTACTTATTCCCCAGCTCGCTTTGGCTTAAAATGCTAACAACCGCCTTTCAGTCTGCAGCTCTTGTCCCCTATGTTTATGTTTTGATTCCGGCCCAGGTGGATGATGCTACTGTTTTGGAATTTCACCGCAAGTGCCGGGAAACTCCTGGTGAACTAGAGACTTACGATTGGACTGGTGTCGATCGTTTGGCGACACTACTGAACAAGACTCTTACTCAAAAAGAGGTACTAAAACATGCGTTTAACCAAAACGTTTACGATCCTGACAACCATAACTTTGTTCTTATTTATGAAGTCAAAATACAACTCAACGAAGGTGTCGTTCCCCGGCGAATAGTATATAGACAAAAGAACCAGGAATCGGTTTACTGGGAGGCAGAAAGTTGCAGTCGTGACCTCAAACGGGGTATTATCGAGCGAGGCGACTTTAATAGCCCCTGGATGTCTAGCGTAGTCCTTGCTCGCAAGAATCCACGTGTGAAGCCGACATCTTTAGATGTACGATATTGTCAAAATTATAAGATTAACAATGAAAGCTTCCGAGTTGACCCTTATTCGATGCCAACTGAGCAAGAGTGTTGTGACCATATCCGCCGTGGTGACGTTGTCTCCACGATGGATATGGCCTGTAGTTTTAACCAACTTCGCTATGCTGAATCCTCTCGAGATTTTCTAACGTGGATTACATCTCAGGGCGACGTCTGGCGTCTCATTGCTGGCGTATTTTCAGTAAAGGATTAAACGTTCCGCTCTCTCCGTGATGTCTTAAAGCATTTTGTTGATGACGGCGCTATGGCCCATTGGAACCAACTGGCTTTCCACCGCCATTGGGATGCCCTGTTGGTCTACGCCCGAATATTTATAAGGCTGGCATCCGTCTAAGAGCTTCTACGACACATTTATGCCTCCTCTGAGACTCCTTCAAGGTCTACTATGGTCGAGTGACTCTTGGTAATTTACCACTATTACCCAAGCTCGGCTCAAAGCATTAAATACACCCCCGCCTAAGGACAAGCATAAGATTGAGGTGTTCTGCGCCACCATGAATTGGTGGTCACAGTATGTCCCGCACATGGTATTAATGCTCTCTCCACTTACTGACCTAACCAAGGAAAATGTACCATTCCGGTATACGGCTGCTACTCATGCCGCTTAACGTTTTAAAGGCTATCAATTGAGTTATCATGTTAGTAACCCCGGACCCATCATATCATCTTCATTTATTTGTTGACGCCTGCCCTATAGGTGTTGGCTCTAGATTATTCGTTCGCATACCCCACTCTGCAGAACCTACTCTGCCCTTTCCTCTTGATTGGGTTCAACCACTTCGCGCTAAGCGCATGGAACAAGCTGATGCTGTATTTACTGCGAATACAGCTCTTCAGGCCACAGCGCCTAAACCCCAACCGTCTTCCCGGAAGCGCCTTGTTCCGGCATAAACTCAACTGATTGGCACTTTACACTTCCCCTATATAAGAAACGCCGTCGCACGCCTAAAGAACAGCTTTCGGATCGGGAGAAGCTTTTCCTCGAGAAGGCTTTACAGTTTTTTTTGTCCTACCAAGCTTCATCCTGCTTCATGGCCGGTCCTTGACCCGCGTAAACATGGTTACTGTATTAATGTAGCCATAGCAGTTCTTCCCTATTAGACTTTATCTCCTTACCTATCAACATTTTTCCGATACCTTCTTGACCTACCTATCATTATTCCTCATACAGAGGACACATTCCTCAAGGATGGCACCCGCCCACTGGGTTTTCTCCCGTGGCAATACACTATTGCGGGACTTATTTCTACACCGAAACCTGCTTATCCGTTGGCTATACCTCTTGCCTTTTGGAACTCACTCGGCACTACTGGCCCACCCCCTAGTGTTGTCTATCCTGTACGGACAAATAGCAAGTCTAATATGGCTTTGACCAAGCGCCGTCCTTCCCCATCTGAGGTGGACCCTGATCAGGAGACCATTTTGGGGAATGCTCACCGTCGTTCTTTTGTGGAGATACGGAAATAGCGTTGGGCTTCATCACACCCTTTCCCCTCCCGTACTTCTCCTGCGATATCTCAGCCGGTACCTGAGCAGTACTATTCGCCCTCATCTCTGACTACCGACCCTGTGTGTCCCAGACCGATCAATCTTATCCTTCAGATACACACCAAACCCCTCCTATTTATTCAACCGCTTTGATTCCGTGTTCCAAATCATCAGCACCTGAACCTGATGGAGAGTGTGTGCTGAACGACGATCCAGTTGATCATGTATCTCCTGCGGCAACTGTCTTTGACCCTTTGCTGTTTGAGTCTGCTACCACATCCGTGCCTACACCCCCTTTGAGCTACACTTTACATTGTCATCTTCTTCTATGCGCCCAAACATAATCTCTCCAGATTTACAAGAAGATGAACGGCGTACTATGCTGCAAACTACGTATAAAATTGTACCTCGACCACCTAATGCTGTCTGTCAGCCTATAACTCAACCCGTAGCCTTAACAAACAAAACTATCCAAAACCCCTTTCTCTGTTAATGGTCATGGTGTTACCCCACAACGTGTACTTCGCGTGATATGGTCCTTATATTTAAATCGCGGACACCTCCGCTCAGCTCGACTATCTTGAATGCTTTTTAATCTTTTTTACTGGTCACGTGTGTCTACCGACTGCTCCGTTTGCTAAATACATGTGACGACTGTATACGCAAAGGTAACAATCCTGGCCCTATTTTCGGTTTATTAATACAATCTGACCGTGGCATGTATTTGGGCGCTATCCGCCATTTTGACTTGAAGGTCGTGACACAGACTTCCTGTGGGGTTAAATACTAGATGGTCAGTATAGACGAACATTTCAGGGTCCACGTCTCTGGTGCATCTCTACATTAAGATGAAATGACTGTTTTCGATGTAATCCAGCAATTACAACAACAGACAGAACAGTGGGCTTGGACAGCTGAGTATATCACTGATTCTGATGGCCCTTTCAACAGTGAAATGACAAAGTACCGTAGACAAGGATTTAAGACCGGACCAGAGGACCGGACTGACAAAAGGAATTTAGGACCAAATCAGAGACTTGGGCCTAAGAGGATTTTATTGAAGGACGGACCCGAGGACCGGACTGGATGGTGGAACATATAAGTTATGGAGAAAGAATGATAACTCATCAGATGTCATCATTATTTAGTAACTAGGAGACCATAATCTGAGATACGGAGATTTTCACAATCTGCCGTTGTTAGAGAAAATCTCGTCCCACACATGAACGTGATTAATAAATACAGCAGACGCGCCGTTCAAAACGGCACTTCTGACTGAGTTCACTTATTTCAGACTTAACACTCTTTATTAAGTGTCACTCGGGTTTGACTACATTTTTAAGTGACCGAACTACTGTATTTATTATACTACGTTCGTTGAAGGTTAAATCAACTAAGAAACGGCTTAGTTAAGAAAATAAATTCAACGATGACGGGACCCAAGACTAGACCGTTGCCAACGGTGGGTAAGCAAGCTTGTGATCGGTTGTTGAGTCGGTTGATTCGAAATCTTCGCCGTTTAACCGAGCTATGCGATAAGGTGGAGTCAGCACTTGCCAAGAAACTTGCACTTGAAGATGCCAAGAAGGTCGAAATCCATTTGAAATTAACCCGTTTGCTTTCGGAGGGCCAATACTCAATTAAAACCTTGGGTAAGCTTCAACAGTCCCCAAACTGGATTTCTGATGTAGAGGGACACCTGAATACGATGATGCATGTGCAGGAAGCCACGGACAATATTCGTCTTATTCAAGAGCCACTCCGCCAACTCCGTGAGTTGTCACTGGCGGATATTGACACGTCTACACCTCAGGACTTGGACCAGGCGACCGTGGATGAGGACTTTTCTGAGACTCAGGCCGGACCAACAGTGCAACAACGTTGGGCTCCTCAATACCCAACGCAGGCAGGGTCGACATCCATCGCCAGTTACTTGACAAAGGGGCTAACAACACGAGGCAAATTAGCCCGGTGAAACGTATAATTGGACGTACGAAGCCTATACCTCAGGTGGCTCCTTACGGTAATGTCCATATCACTCGCAGAGAGCGGTCGTTGCAGAACGCTCAACAACGAGCACAAACGATTCCGACCCCTGAGGAGATGCCGGCTAATGGTCCGGATTGGTATCAGGCATCGAACGATAATGTCCATGCTTCTCGCAGAGCGCGATTGTTGACAAACGCTCGAAATCGGGCACAAACAATTCCGTCCTCTGATGAGATGCCGCCAAATGGTCCGGATTGGTATCAGGCATCGAACGATAATGTCCATGCTTCTCGCAGAGCGCGATTGTTGACAAACGCTCGAAATCGGGCACAAACAATTCCGACCTCTGATGAGATGCCGCCAAATGGTCCGGATTGGTATCAGGCCTCGAAAACTTTGGTGAATTGTTTTTTGGAACCTGCGGATTTACACTTGGACATGGACACTCCTCGGAATTTATCGTCGTCGGCAAAGCGCTCCTTTGATGCCTTCCGCAGAGTAAGGAAGTCCCCGCAGCAACAGATGAACCAGAGTCATGTGGTAACGAGCTTATTTCGGGATAGGTTGCAACGTCACCGTAAACCACGTTCACCAGAGGAGTTACAGGAGAATTTTCAGGATGCGGCGAATGTCCCTATTGATACGATTGCATACCGCAAGAACCTTCCTGTTCATCACAACCGCTACTTGAAAGACTCACAGGCAGTGAAACGTCATAAAGGATCGGAACCTACGGAGCCTAGCATTACTGCATCGACAGCGGCCGAGATGATAATGTAAGTTTTTCAACTAACCCAACGAATGATGCAGGTAGAAGCAGACGGACGTATAGACGATGCGCGTGCGCTACAGGGTCTAATTCGTGCGTCGAATGAGACTCTGAAGACGTGTTTAATAGCGGTCGACAAACGAATACCGAAGGAATGGCCTCCCACCCCGCAGGGTAACTATTATTTGGACAATCCGCAGAAGATACAGCCACACGCTTTTATCTTGGACTGGCACAAGAATGCGCGATTCCACAAGCTAGAACCGATTCATATACAAATGAGTTTACACCGAGCTCTACAGTATGAAGGGGCTCCTAAGGCGCTATTGGATTTTATTGTGGAAAACGAGCAAAAATTATAGTCTATGATATTTGAGGATGCCACTGCTTTTATTGTACGTACATAAGAGCAAGACCTGGAGGATAATGCATACCGCCAGGTATTAGCATGCATGAAGCTGAAGCCATCGGTACCACTTGATATTCAGATTCGTGATTTAGAACGCCAGGTGGAGTTCATGGAAATGCGACAGTATGAGAACCCCCTACAAGTATACCGCAACCATGGTATACTTAAACTTATACGACAAGCTGCAGGTGGGGCGTACTACCGGGATACTCTTCGAATGCATCCACAGTCGCGAAACTACTCGTGTGAACATTGACAAAGCAGAAGAAAATTCCGTTGAACTCGCGATCACGCTCAAATTTGCGTACGGAAGCGAATACACGCGCCAACCCGCATGCACCGCCTACATTGAACCCACGGGTAGGTTGTCGATCATGTGCACAAAACATTCCGCCGGGACCAGGACATGCAAGTCGTTGTCCTAACTTATAACGAGTACCGGTCCAGGCTAGCACAGGTAGCCGCACACAAAATGGTGCGGCTACAGTTCAACGTACATCGGCTACAAGCACATCGACACGCGGGACTCACGGATCGAGTACTAATTTCCGACCCCGTGCTAACTTAGTGGACGGTGATATTATGCCTAATCAACCAACCACCGAGACGGGGGAGACTGAAGTGATGCACATTCATGATTTGGTCGATGAGTCGTATGTGCAGAGTGACAATGAGTTGATGGAAGAAGAGCAGACACCCGATGGTTGGGAAGTTGGAATAGATTCGGATTGACAGGCGGGGGTGTGTGAGGTAAACATGTGCATGCCATTTGGTCGTTCGGCAACAAGAATATTTGCAGTAAAAGATCAATTGTTTCCTACTGACAACCGTGTATATGTTACTTTATAACTGGGCGGACATGGCATGCGCACCCTTATTGACACGGGGGCCAACAGTTCAGGCATCACTCAGGCATCCGCAGCTAAGGCACACCTCTCTATTACACCACCGGCCAAGGATAGTTACATATACTTGGCGGACAAAGCCTTCAGAACTCCACGCTTGAGCAAAACACAAGCAACAAAGGTCCAGTACGGGTCAACTGCTACTGAGGGTTGTACACTTGAACTTATGAACCTACCGGATAACATTGATATAACATTGGGGATGTATATTATGGGTGAGTTGAGATTAGGCTTAACCGGATTAGTATCTCCATTTCCAGAGATTAATCGTAATGGGATGAATTACTGGAACCAATCAATCTTCGAATGGCCCCAGACTTGTCCGAGCCAGGTGATATACGCGCACGCCTACGCCAATACCTGAATGTTAATGATACTATTCTGAATGCAGCTCGCTGCACACTCCCGGGTAGTGAGGAGTCACTCCCCATTCCTCGGGATAAACTCCTGGGCCTACGTCGGCAGACCAGAAATTTTGTATCTGACAAATACAAACCACATGCAACGAAACAGGTAGACAAATGGGAACACGAACTGGTCACCAATCGTCGAACATCGGCGTCGATCGTTAACCTTCCTTTGTTGGCAGTACCATTATTCACACCGTCGGGTGAACTTATTAAGGTGCGCGTGTGCTTGGACCTGCGGCAGATCAACGCTCTTATTCCGGACGATCAGTTTACGCTTCCGAAGGTCAACGAAATCATCAGCAACTTGAAGGGCAAGCGTTACTACACCACGTTGGACTTATCGGCCGCGTACCATCGGTTACCAGTGCACGTCGATTCGCAGCACATGTTTTCGTTTACATGGAACAGTCAGCAGTACTCGTTTACGTCGACTCCCTTTGGATTGACGACACTCACGTCACAATTTCAACGGACAATTAGTAATTTGATGGCAGGACTGCTATGTTGATGGTCTAATTATTGCATCGGACGATTACGAGGAGCACATTGCTACGGTTCAAGAGGTCATTCGATGCTTGACGGAGAATAACTTCAAACTTAATCAGAAGAAATGTCACTTTGCGGTACGAGAGGTGATGGTTTTTGGGCAAGAAGATATCAGCTAAAGGCATTGACGTGGATCATGAGAAGCAGCAACGTTTAATTGACTGGCCAGTTCCAAGATGTCAAAGGGATATTGCCTCTGCGTTAGGATTAGCAAACTTTCTACATGAGCATCTACCGAACTTTGTACACAAGGTAACTCCACTCCGAACCTTTTCTAAACTTAAGCCAAAGGAGCCCATTGGGGATCGTTGGAAGCCAGAACATCATTTGGCGTGGGATCAGATAAAAGAGTGAGAGACTACAGTAGTAGACGTATTTCTATATACGTTAATAACGTTTTACGTCGTCAGCCCGAGAGTAATTTGGGACTTGTTCTCCAATTAATATAAGTATAGGTGGGTCAGCCCGAGAGAACGTAAGAGTAATTTGAGACTTCTTCTCAGATTATTCTATTTATAGAATACGGGCCACCGGCTAGCCGAGAGCCGAGGTCCGAGACTGAGTGTAGTAACAGAGAATATGATATATTTATTTCAAGAAAATATATACGAGTGCTAAAGTGTTCTGCATAGGGTTTCTCATACTGATCATACGAGTTTTTACCCTGGCCAGCCCAAGTGGTTGAACACTAGTGCAAACATCATCAGTATATAACTGAGGGTGAGATCATAAATAATTTCATTCGAACGCACCATACTTTAGATACACTAGCACTTTACTATTAGTCCCCCACACCGCACGGTAACAAAGAGGCTGTCGTGTCGGCAGTCAGGTTGAACTTTCCTGTTGATGGTGTACCACTTGAGTTAGAGACGGATGCAAGCGACTATGGAATTGGTGGCGCATTGTTTCAATTGATTGACGGGCGCAAACATTACCTGATGTTCTTCTCGAGAACTCTCTTCAACGCACAGCAGACATATGCAACCCCGATGAAAGAATTATTAGCACTTACCTATGCTTTGGTTCACTTTCATGATCATATCATTGGACATCGGTTTACTGTACACACCGACCATAAGGCTCTCATATACATGAACACTCAGCTGAAGCTGAATAGCATGTTGCAGCGATGGCATCATATTATTGCACAATTCAATTTTACTATTACACATGTACCTGGAAAACTGAGCAAGTTGCCAGACACGTGGAGTCGTGTTCATGAGGGTACGGCGGCTATCAACTACCCCCGCGGTGTTCTATACTTCATGTTGGAAGTTGTTTCCGGATTTCTTTGACCACATCCAGAAGCACTTTGGACCAAACGACGTCGACGCTTTTGCCTCGAGTCATAACACTCAGCTTCGCCAATACTGATCGTACGACAAAGTTGGCGGGGTGTTTAAGTTTGACTGGAGTAAATACAACGCATGGATGCCCTTGTGGCGTCTTATACATAAGGTGTTACGTAAGGTGTTGAAGGACAAGGCGTCGGCAACAATATTTTTAACGTTGAACACACGTGCGCCATGGTTCCTTTTACTTCCATCGATGATGCAAGCAGACACGCTACTTATCCCACGTACTGCTCACACATTCTTGAAGCACGGCTCACAGGCTTGTGGTAAATACCCGTGGGAGCATACCATCGTGGTACGTATTGGCCCTCCATCTGGGTACAAAGTCAATTCATCATTTTGGTGAGACTTAGGCTTGGAGGTACCTGTGTGTAAGGACGCTGGTACACATTATCAGGAAGATTGGGCACAACCGGTGATGTCGAAACGAATGCGACAGATCGCTGTACGAATTCCTGAGATATGTGCGGGTGCTACAGTGATGAATCATCCAGGGCACGAGGAAGCGAACCGTCGTGTACAGTTGACATGGCAATTTCATGAACAAGGACATCCGGCCCCAGCAGTGACAGTGCAACAGATGCGCGACGATGTACATAAGTGGGACCAGATGCTTCCAATCACAGAAGAAGTCCGCAAGTTATGTCGCACATGCTTGGGCAACGATACGATGAAGAAAGGTTTTCATCCTTTAATGAATATTACCGCTCGATATCCCTGGGATCACATACAAATAGATCTCATTCCTATGGCGGTCACATCCGCTAAAGGAAACAAGTCTATTTCACATGTGCTTGATGTGTCGTCGGGCTACTCTATTCTACGAGAAACACCTGCAAAGGATGAAAAGACAGTGGCGCCAGAGATAGTGTCAGTGTTTGGTGAGCATGGATTCCCTCTTAAGATTCAGAGTGACGAGGGCACCAAATTTGTAAACAATATTGTCAAATCCATCACACGAGCGTTGGGCATTATACACAAGACGTCCCAACCATACCACCCGCAGACGTTGGGCGCAGCGGAGCGCCGACATAAGGAAATCCACAAATGCGTGCGCGCATTGTGTGCTGGTTGTCTGGAGTTGTGGGATGAATGTCTACCGTTTACTATGTTATACCAGAACCTTCTGATATCACGACGTCACAAGTCAGCACCATTCAGCGTTTATTTTGGTCGACGACATGTCCCGTTTGCAAACATGACCGGTGACTTAACTGGTCATATTCCTACCACGAACGATGCATGGTTAAAGAGGCTGGATGATTTGGAGAAGACTATCCTACCAAAACTTCATCAGAGAACGATTAAGTATACTGATGCCATGGCAGAGGCTACGGATCAAATGCGTAAATTTGATTTGATTGAATTTAAGACGGGGGACGT